ATATTTAACAGCTATCTCGCCTATTATATACTTACTATATTATAATTTATAACATATAATCAATTAACAGATATCGTTATTCGTTATTATTCTGCTACACTGTATATTATCCGACAAGATAAAATATTTTATCGTACAATGTTCTCTTTTTTTCCTATTGCTTTCGTGGTAGCTTCGCCACCTATACTGCAATAAATTCGAACGGAAACGATGCGTCGCAGATTAAAGTCAACGATTGACATAAAACACTACTTTTAAACTTATTTTTAATAGTGCTAATGGACACTGTACACGCCAAAGTCTGAGAAGATATATAATTTCAAGTTAAATTTAATAAAAATTAAAATAGACTATTCAAAAAACAATAAGATAAAGAATTAATGGGTCTTAAAAAAAATTTGAAAATAGAATAATTACTTGAACAAATGTGTACTATATATACTATATATTATGTTGTCATAAAACAATACTAGTTAATGAGAAAACGTGAATTTGAAATGCCAATGCTAAGAATATCACTTAATTTAAAAATTGAAACCTACAATTTGTATTTACCTAGGTGCATTTAGATTTTGTTCTCTTCTTTTGGAGAACATTAGAACACAAATTTTATGTAGTGTCAAGATTAGGTAGTAAGCATAAAACAATTAGTAACGAATAACAACCAAATGCATTTAAGTCTTTGATAGTTACCGCTTCTATACATCACTAAATGGGTCATTTTTATTCACTACTATGCAGAGTTAAAAACGAAATGTATATTTGTTTCAATTTTGTCCGATAAAACCAATTTCACTAACAAAATTATGACATAAAAATTCTAATCTACAACCGATCAGAGTTATGACAATTATATGTATATTGTTAAAATAATAATTTTAACAGATGATAATAATAATAAATAATAACTATTAAATGTATTTATTTTTCGGCCGTCTTATTTGTGTGAATAAATCAAAATAGTATTTTTGACGCCATGTTAGAAAAAAATAATACTGTGGTAAATGGGTAATTCAATTTTAAAAACTAGAATTAATAACAGCATAATAGACGGATACCTATATTTGATGGGCGTTATACTATTCTGTAAATGTTTTACCGACATGTAATTTTAAAGATACCTACGATATATAAACGTTAATTAACTTAATGTTAATTATCCGAAACACGGACATTTTGAAAGATAGGTAGTCATCGAAATATGACTATTATAATATACGCCTGACAAATGACAACCTATTATAGAAGCATATTTACGTATTGTAAACGCCCTATCTCAACAGAATTTGTTAGAGTTAAACATTTTACAAAAAACGCTAATTATTTAGTATATAAATATAACTCTAACCTAACACAATACATAACAATTAATAACATTTATACTAAAGCTAGGTATAGACGAATAGTAGTAGATGTTTCTAAACTTATATATTATTATGTATATGTATGTATAAAAATGCATATTTATAATCTAATTATGTTTAGTTAAATGATGATATTATTATTTAATTATATTAATAATTAATACAAATTTTTAATCACTTAAGAATGTAATAAATAATAATAATAATCACATAATCACATATCTAATTACGATAACTACATACAATATGCATGTTTAATTTATGAAAATGAAGTGAATTTAATAACTTAAAAATCGTCTATTATACAAAAATATTTATTATTTTCAACATAAATAATAAAATGTGTGTATTACTATACAAAAATAATTTGATTATTAAAGATTAAAAAACTCAATTGTTATTAATTTCGCACATAATAAAGTATTTTTAAGTACATATTTGATTACAGACATTAACTTAATAATAAATTAACGGAAATAATATACATTATGTTTTTTATACATCTTTATTGTGTCTATACAACAGTAATAATTATGGTCAATTATATTTTAAATTTTAAAATAAACTACTATTTAATAATTGACTATTCCATTAAAATTCATATAGAGGTATCTAGTATCCATTAGGTACCTACCGATAATTAAATTTATCGCAAAAACATATTATATATTGTTCAAATTTGAAATAAGAACAAGTTAGATTCATAAGTGATAAATTATTGTAAGATATGTAATTTAGGAAAAAAATTTAAAAATACTTGATTGTGTCATTAAAATATCTTGAAATATTTTCTGAAATTCTAATAGTTACTTCTATACATGGTTACATAAATATATATATATATATATAAATATATACATATTTTATTATATTTTATTTAAAAAAAAAATAGTGAGAGTTGTGAGATACATGAATAGGTAAATTAAAGTAGTAAATGTAAAATGTAAATGCGATTAACATTGCACTTGAAAAATGGATAGTTAGTTAGCTAGGTACTTGTTTATATTATTCGTGCATTTTTTTTCTTTAAAATACGATCGTACAGATGACACAGAAAAATTGAAAAATTAAATCTCTTACAAATAATAACTTGATAATTGCTTACATCGTAATAAAACAAGTGTATTAAATCCAATATTTATGTATTCTATATAGCTGAATCCCTATCATTACCTATTATTTTTTTAGTTCACTTTCCAAAGTTTTCCATCAGATTTTTTATATATATATATATATACTTATGTATAAAAAATCGTCCAAACACTCATAATATAACATTTGAGGAAGACATACTGACAGAACTTCAAACACCTAGTGGAAATAAATTTAAAAAATCATAAGTATTTAATAATTTTGTAAAAATAGTTTTAACATATAATTGTTATAAAAATAAAGAAGTTTATCCATTGTGTCTTTTAAATCTGTATTGTTACTATAAGCATAGCGAAATGTAATTTAAATGTTAACGTTAAATAAAGATCGCTAAACAAATAATATTGTCAATAATGTATTTGTTTAATTACAGTGTTTACAATAATTTAAAGGTATTAAATTATAAGTTATGAAGTGATTGTTTATGTTTATGTTTAAGGTAAGAATAGACACTTGGGATGAGCTAAATATTTATATCGCATACCATTCAATTCAAATATACTTTTATTTATTCATTAAAATTAATACCTTATTGGTAAATAAACTGACAATTTTTAAGAACAGTCGACATAATATTATTTTTATTTTTATATACAAGACACATAACTTATCTAACAGTCAGTAGAAAAAAAATGTTACCGGATAATAAAAAAATTTAAGAAGTCACACTTTATTGATAGAAGGTGTCGTCGAGCTTACTTCGTCATTGAGTTAGTCGTATTACGTATATTAAATGTGTTGAATTTGTATTCTACGATAAATTATTGCATACGATACATGAATCTAAATGGAAATGGTCAGTCAGCATAATTATAAAACATAGTTCATATCACGAATATATTATTTTAGTACCTAATTTATTTTGATTTATCAAAAATATAATATTATAGTAGGTTGAAATAATTTTTACTAAAAATAAATCACATGTATTATTACACATCAAGTATCATGATATTATTAGCTTAACTTAAAATTAATCGAAATGTTTTGCGTAAAAAATACTAATACCTATACATGTTGTGAAAAGTTACAAATTTCTACGAATTTCTTTTCGCATAAATTAGACAAAAAAAAAAAATACATTATTGTAAAATCAATATATTCTTTGCTCCGCTTTGAATCTAAAATTCATAGTAATAGTAAATTTAACCTCCTAGCCTCTCTGTAACCTCTCTACCACAATTATATAATAATATAATTTAATAGATAAAAAAATATGCTTGCAGCTATGAAGAAAAAACTAGGGTATAAACGTATAAAGTAGCCATACTACAAACATAATAATGCATTATTATATCATCAACATTTGTATAGCTTTAAATTCTCTTTGGAAAGGAAAATTAATTAACAACCTTTATTAATTATATGTAGTAATCATAACCATTTATTAAAATATTATATATATATCAACTAGAAAATATATCACAAAAAAATCTTGAAAATCGTCAAAAAAATGTTGGAATTTTGTATGAGATTTTCTAAATATATATTAAGAATGATAAAATTAAATTTTAATAATCTAAATACAAGTTAAATAGAAAATCTGTTTTAGTACGTACTATGTGATAAATTGTGAAACTTATAGCTATTGTATAGCAACGATTTTAAAATAGCATCATAATAATAGTTTAATCATAGATATAATTACCATAATAATCTTACATACAACTACTATACAACACATTTTTAATAAATACTAATCCACAAAAATTACTCGTATTCTTCCTTCAAAAATTATACACAGAAACCTAGTGAAATACACAAAATTATTTTTTGTCTACTTCGTTTAAATTGGATACATTTCTCAATATTGTCTATATTATGTATATATATTAAAGGAATAATGAGAAAATTTTAAATATGTACCTATATTAATGGTTGATAGATTCAAAAATCTCTTCATTCAAATTGTTATGAAATTTGTTTAGCTCGTTGAATTACATCATACAATAACAAGGGAAATATTTAGAAATTTGGTACCCACGGTAATATTCTTTTTTTCATTAATTGGGTATAACCATAAAATAGCACTGTTTATAATCTTAAATAATACCAAGTTTGATATAGAGTGAATTAAAGAAACAATAAAACAAATATTTCACCATTTCCACTAATACAGCCAAATATCGAATCCGATTAAAAACTGGTTTTAATCTAACAGTTGGTAATAAACAGTATCAAAACCAAGTATCCGAGCAAGTATCATTTTAAGTAAGACGTAATAGAATATGATAATAATAATAATAATATACCAACAACAAAAATTATTCAGGTTCCGTCAATACGATTGTTAGTCAATTATCATACTCGTGTATTATTATAATTTAAAATAATGCATGATAATTATGTAACACGAACAGTGGGAGTCCATAGTGGGCGGTTAACTGACTAACGTTTAAAACAGAAAAACAAAAACACAATAATAATAATAATAATAATAATATAATATAATCGTCTGCCGAGCCGAGCTCTCGGTGCACCTACCGTTAAACTCTTCGTATCCCCATTCGTCGGTCGTCATGATGATGTCCTGCGGCGATGGCCGTGTGGTGTGCGAAAAGCTACGCTCCGACCGGATAACTTGGTGGTGTGCGGAAATCGTTGGAAAACCGTACGGAAACGATTTTCGGCATAAGACAATGACCACGGCCAAGTACAGCTATCGCTGTGACAGCAACGGCGTCGACAATAATGGGTATTATCGATGTAGTCGGTGGTTCGACGAGACGGACGAGCGCAGACGATCGCGTTGGTGGTCGGCGTGCGATTGACGCCGCCGGTCGCTGTCGCCGTGTACGTGCGGAAAACTAGTTGGCGTCGACGTTCAGCTCGGTCGGCAGTCGTATCGCAGCGGTGCGTAGCTGGTGGGTACGTACTATGGCAGCAACACTGTTAAGTGTGCATTGTAAGTGTATTGCAGCGATGAAATGCGTTTCGGTCAGAGCCGGTGGGGGAAATCGTCGCACTGCTCGCTTGAAGTGTGCACAGTGTAGCGGACGTGCGCGTGCGCGCGAATACGGGTAGGTCTGTGCGGTGCATGTTTGTGTGTGCGCGTATTGCGAGCCGGTTGCCGGCGCACATCGATGTTTTTCTACGTACGATTTCACCGTGGAACATATTATTATTATTATTATTATTATTATTATCGTGTGTGTACAGTGTACACTGTTCAAAACACAATCATGACGTATTATAAAAGTATATAATATATTATTATTATTATTATTACCATTATCGCATTGTCGTTGTCGTCGCGTCCGTGTGCACCCGGCGGAGTGGGGGCGAAAACGCACGTGCTCCCCGGCACCCCGCGGCCCGCACGTACCGCGACACGACATTCGCCGGCCGGCCGGCGCATGCGCGCTGCGCTCCGATTCAAAGGGTGAGAGCTTTTTCGTAGCGGAGGGATCGAAGAATTCGGGACCGCGGGCGAAACGCTCCGATCGGTATTCGGCGTGCACGTCTATGTATGTGTGTGTGTGTGCGTGTGTTATACTCCTTTAACAGTGTGTTCATAAGAAGTCTAGTGTCCATAAACATAACATAATACGTTAATGATAATGCATAGTGATAGCTGCGAAGTAGTAATAATTGTCGTAGCGTGTATTGTGTACACTGTATAATATACGTACGTCGCAGAAGCCGGAAGGTGTATTATGTCATGACCAACACTTGGGTACCTACACCACCGGCCTTAATAGGATCTACCACAGCGCGGTATTGGCGGGGACGATAAGTCGTCGTTTAAATCGTAACGTATCGAATTCTCCGAAAACACGTCGTTGACCTACGAACGCTTAATACCCTACAGCCGGCTGTCGTCCGCAATTACAACTATAGATAATATAAGACTTATATACCAAAAACGTACATACGACAACCTATCGAACACATCAGCGATTCAATGATATATTGACCCAGATATTGTGACGCGTCGTCTTACACATTATTAAAATTTCAACTAATATAAGAATGATTTATTTTATTTCCTACGATTCCAAATAACCAAATATGAGATTAAATTAGTACCTAATTATTCAAATTTGAAGATAATATTTAGTTTCAAAAATTAACTCAAACTTAAAATAAATACTAAATTTTGGTTTTGATATAATATGTATATACTGTTTATTACAAGTATGTAAGTTAAAATATTTAACCTACATTTGATATTTAACTATTTGTAAAATAAACGTTAAGATACGTTAAATATATATTAAGGTACGCCGATCTCTTCAAATATTACCTTTATCTATTAGTATCAGAATGTAATTAACTTCGCGACTCCGAGTTTTGAAAAAATAATCGCATTTCTAAGCAAATTATATGCTACTATTGAAGTGTTCTACGCAATACATAAAATTCTCTCAGCAAAATTCTTTACAATAGAAGTCTTTCCAAGTATTTTCATAAAGAACTATTTTAGTTAGAAAGTCTTCTCGAAATAATATATACATGTTAAAGATTCAGGGGTTGGGGGAGGAATAAAGAGGTCTATACCAGACTCTCGTAAGGATTTCTTGGTATTGGAAAACCCCTTGATATTAAATAACTCAAGTATAGGACTACAGGTATATAATTTTATTACTTAATAACCTATAAATCAATTACATCTATTATTATCACATAATCTATATTATTTGTTTATATACCTACTTACAGCATATAAGCACTTTTTGTCAATTTTAACTAAGAATATTTAGTTGAATAATTTTATCTACAAAATATTATTGGGATAGAACATTAAAAAAAGCTTCTCGCCTTCTTATATTTTTTTTAAATGGGTTATATATATTTCAATTTTTCTGTATTTCAGTATTTTATTATTAACTATGATATAGAAACTGGAAAGTAGGTAACCATAAACCAGATGATTAATAATTTATTTTCATTGTATTCATTACCTACAACTTACAAGTTTTTTTAATTTTATTTAAGTACACTCTTTTTAGTAAGAAAACAATCTGTAGTTTAACGAATATCAATTCTTTTGCGTATCCCCTGCACAGATATGTATAATCTACTTGTTTTCTCGCTCAATAGAATATAACGAGTGTCGAGTTACCTATACTTTTTAAGTTCGAAAAAAAAATATTATCTCGTGAAGCCAAAAATAAATTGTATTAAGAAATAACACTTAATGTTTAATTTTTTTGTCATATTAATTAACATAATATGTTCATTATACATTTAATTACATTTTTATAAGATAAAAAAACTACCGAAGAAAAAGTAAAAATAAATTGTTCAATACGATTGAATAATAATTTTTTAGTTAAAGGCTATTTATAAGAGAATGTGTATCCTTATTCATTACCAGATTTTTTCCATTTATGTAAATTAGAAATAAATACTTGTAATTTAAAATGTCCCATGGTACAATATATCTGGGAATCCCGAAGCTAAATACAAATAATATTTATAAGGCTATCTAGATATACGTTATAACTTATAACTTATATAGTATTAAAAAATGTAATACCTGCAATATATTTTAATAAAGCAAATCTGGAATTCAATTGTAATTATTTAATTGATAATAATTTAATTAGATGGAAATAATTTGTTTAACTAAAAGTCTTAAACATTAAGAAAAATATAAAAAATATTTCTTTAACTGGCTAATTATATAACAATATTCATAATACAATATATCTACTAAACTATTTTATTAAAAAAAAAATAATAATAACCAGATATTAATTTAGTCGGTACTCGGTATCTATAATAAGGACACAGATAAAAAAAATTGTAAATAATCTGTTAGTGTAATAAATAAAATTAATGTGAAAAAAAAAAACGGAAAAAAATATTTTAATAGGTACCCATGGCGTCAATCAAATGCTTAGAGTAGGTATATCCAGTTGTTTAGTTTTGTGGAATTTAATTATTAGTTTTTAATATTTACCTTGGACAAAAAGAATTTCAATAGTAGGAAATAATGTTTATACATATTAATTTTATTTTGATGCATGTCAAACGTTAGTATGCATACTTATAAATCTAAAAAAAATGTTTAGTGTACCGTAAAAATAAAATAATATGCATACACTTAATACAATTAACTTCTTAATATATTTTAATACATTTTTTGAGTAGAAATTTAAGACCTGTTTACTTTCAGAAGAAACAAAAAACGATTCTGTTATTAATTTCGTACTATGAAGTTAATTATATAATATTTCGTTATAACTTATAAGTAATTGTATACAATTTAAATTTATAACACTGCAGTTAATACGTAGTATAAGTAGTAATCTAATTCTTTATTTTTTAACCTGATCTTATCAAATTTCAGTTTTTATTTTCATCTTGTGATTTTTTGACGGACAGCCAAACGAATAGCCCCTTCTCTTTAGTTGGCATATTCCAGATTCTTTACTGGAGCATTTATTGGATGTGATCCCAACTATACAATGCATGTTATAAGACATATTTTGCCTATACGTCACAATTATGTGTCTAATCGATATTTCACGGATTTGGACAAACACATATACCTATATATGAAATAAAATTACCGATTTTTTTCATAATCATCATCATATAAAAACTGGACAATTTAATTTTTGTTAATTTAGTAATAAACTATTAAATACAACTCTTTTCACAGTCATGTAAATGAGTGTATAAACAATAAAAATTACAAATATTTATAAAAAGTTATACATAGATATCCACCCCTCAATTCACGACTGTATTAGCTTTTTCAAGGGTAAGAATGATACAACCATAACAAGTATTAACAATCTAGGGATATTTCATACTTTTGTATGTTTCACTAATTGTATGTACCTACCTACTTTCCTCTATAATGTACTCTATAACTTCGACACTTTGTCCAAATTTCCGTAATAATGTGGTTTAACCATTAACCCATTAATCATTGAGGAGTAACCTCTGTTGTAGTTAGAAAATAATATTTGTTTAATCTTTAATGTATATTTATTGCGTATAATATAAAAGTATTAAATTATATAGGTTTAATGTAACGAGTAAATAGTATACAATTTGGGCGTTTTCTACGATGCCTGGGCATCTTATACAACACCTGAGTGTTATATAAGATGCACTTCGTATATTGAGCAATATATATAATATAATAATTAATCGTAAATTATAGTCAAAACGTAGTAAATAATGATATTATATTTATTCTATAATATTTATATTATTAGAAAATATAATTATTTTTTTATTTTTATATCACTTATTGTCGCTTGTACTGCTTCCGTGGCATTTTGATGTTCATAGTCGCTCCGCTATTTTGTACTTGCATTTCGTGTTTTCAATTTTTATACAGACATACATTGGTCGTAGCCTTTTTCACCCAAATTGGAAAATTTCCATGCAGTCTCTCGGAGTGAAATTTTAGTTCATGACACATCATCGACTTCCAGAAATATTTCTTTCAAATTACAAATTATATATGTTACATATAATAATATGCTTAGACAGTCCCATTGTAAAAAAGTCAATAAGAACAAACAAAACGATTATATTTTCTAATATTAATATTATAGTATAAATATATATCATTATTCATACTATTTTGACTATACTATATGATTAAATATTATATTATTTATGTAGCCCAATATACAAAAGACATTATAAACACCCAGACATTGTAGAAAACTCCCAAATTGTACACTTTGCCCATAACATATATATACAATATACATATAAACATAAAATACCGTTAAAAAATAAAAAAGACTATTCTATGGTATTATAATAAACAAAAAATATCATTGTCGTATTAGATTTAAAGAAAATGTTTGAGTTGATCATCTTCAAAGTTTGTTCCTAAACTTCAGTACAGTGATTCGAACAGCTTTTTTGTATTTTTAAAAACACCTTTGTATTTCCTCAGATTTTATAGCCTTGAACTCT